AATTTTTTGGTTGGATCCTGCAACAATCCTGCAGATCGGGATGCTGGTCGTGAGGAAGTGCACACAGTGGCGAAGGAAGGGCTGGGAGTCATACCCATGCCTCACTGATTCTGAGGTCCCTGCTTGGCCTTGAACAAATTACTGGACTTTTTCAAACCCTCTTTTTCTGGGCTAGAAAATGGGCATAATACCTCATTGTGGTTATGACATGAAGATACAATGTATGCTATCTCGTAAGGGTATTGCATTTCTAAAGACAGATGAAACACATTTGAGTGACCCAGGGGGGCAAAGGAATGGAGGGGATACTGGGGTAAAATTACGGAAAACTTAAAATGAAAGGTTCTTGCATGCATTCATCATAATGTGCCATCAACCAAGAAGACGAACTCAATTCTTTGTACCTGATATCCGCGTGAAGGAAGAAGACATACGCTTCGTACACTTGAGCTTCTCAAACTTTAACGTGCACACAACTCACATGGAGAACTTGTTAAAATGCAGATTCTCATGCAGTAAGTCTGGAGTGGGGCTCAAGATTCTGCATTTCTAACAGGTTTCTGGGTGATGCTGCTGCTGCTGGTCTGAGTTGCCAGGATGTAGAAGGTCTTTCCCTCCTTTCTCAGTTCTCGAACTTGCGTGATCATATGAATCACAAGAGGAACTTGTAAAAACAGGTTTGAAGGCCCTCCCCTGGAGATCTGGACTGGGGCCCAGCACGCACTGATGTGTACTCAGAGCAGGCATCTCAGGCATGCAAGGCTGTGGTACCCATCTATGTCATGGTCCAAGGCGCAGACGGACACAGATTGGCTTGCCAGAGCTCTGTCCCGATGATCCCTCCTGAGTGTAGAGGTGGGAAGAGGGAATAAAGAAATTTTCCCCTTGCCACTACCATTAGAGAGGCAATGTAGGTTCCAACAATCAGATGCATTCAACTGAACCCTGAACTTGGAACTGAGCTGAGTGGGGTCAAGATGGCAGTATGAAGGGCATCCGCTTTCTGGTGCAGATGTAGGCAGTTTCTGTGTGGCTCTGAAGTTCCTATTCCTCAATCATGGCAACGATGATACGATCCTGCTGCTCTCTGGATCCTAACCTTTTTAGTTAAAAAAGCTAAATTAATTTGTTTATTGCAGCTGAACCGGAGAACTAACACTTCAGCAGGACCCTCCCACTCCTTCATCCTTCTGAACTCCTGTCACACTGTGACTCTCGCAACACTCATGTCATGTGGCTCATCTAAAACACAGTGCTCACATGGTCATCCAGTGTCTTCTGCACCGTCAGCCTCGTGTTCCTCTAAGCAGGGACTGGGCCTTCCACTTTGCACCTCCCACTGGCACTGAGTCAGGTATTCAAACCTCTTCACTTGCTTTTTGAATTCTAGGGTCTGTCCTCAGTCACCTGGGCCTTGCCACCCCTCACTGCCCACCATCCTGCCTGCCGCCCTTGCCTCTGACCCACTCCTCAGGGCAGATTCAGGGCCAAGCACAGCTGGAGTGACTTGGGGTGTGCCTTGTGTTATCTCAAAGGCAATCACGGGATGGGGACTTGGAAGCCTGCCTTTGAGTCTCTGCATTGGTGCAAAAAGTTCATCGTGGCCTAGAAGCATGCAAGTGTTATGACAGAGAAAATTGGGGATATGCATGTAGGGAATCTTTCCTCTCCTTGGTAGTGGGACCTGCCTTCTTGGAACTGCACCAAAGTAGACAAGATTAGGAGACAGAAAATACGAACTGCTCCACAGATTCTAATTTTCCTCCTGTGAAGAGAGGCACGGATCAGTAACAGAATGGCGTTAATGATGGCAGAAAGGGAGGCCACGAGGGAAGCTGGGTTCCAAAGTGAGGTTGTGTGGGACTTGCTGGCCGTTCTCTCTGTGTCAATACGTGCCGACCATCAAGCACAGGAATGTAGCCTCCATTGTGAGCACAGTATATTCTTGGAGTTTAAGTCTTAAGAGACTCGTGAAGAAGCTCATGATTCCGTAGATAAATGCAATGAGAAACTCAAGCAGCTCTAAGAACTGGGCAGGAGACAAGCCAAGGAAGAGAAGGTGGGATGTGGGCACTGAAATGGTCCAAGTGGTCTATGGCACTTCAGCATCGAAAGACAATGATTTAGAACCAGACTTTTATTCTACTTGTAAAGTCACTGGATGAACAATGACATTTCAAACCAAGAAAAGTGATATTGTAAATCTCTCTAAACCTGAAAGGGTCATGGGAACTTCCCTAGAGACAGAACCTGTCCTGTATCACACCCAGCCCAGACCATCCCCAAAAGTCAAACCCAACTCCTCTGTAGCTCACCAGCCATGGTCACCCCAAGGGTGCTCTTATCAAAGCCATAGTCTGTTCCCCAGGGGGGATTGGCTCTGGTCTCTGCCTTGCTGGGCCTAGGTCAAAATTCTCCTTTTTAAAAATATAGAGGACAAAAACACAGTGAGATACCACTTCACACCCACTGGCATGGTTATAATCATGAAGAATAACAAGTGTTGGTGAAGATGAGGAGAAACTGGAACCCTCACACGTCACTGGTGGGAGTGTAAAATGATGTGGCTCCTGTGGGAAACAGCCTGGCAGTTCCTCAAAAAGTAAAACACAGGGTTGCCATGTGATCCAGCACTTCCAATCCTTGGTATATACCCAAGTGAAGTGAAAACATCTGTTTACACAAAAACTTGTACATCAATGTTCATAGCACCACTATTCATAACAGCAAAACCAAATCCAGCTGCCCAACTGATAAATGGATAAACAAAATGTAGTATGTCCATACGATGTATTATTCAGCCGTAAAAAGGAATGAAGTACTGCTACACGAATGAATCTTGAAAACATTATGCTAAATGAAAGACCACATATCGAATGCTTCCATTTATGAGAACTGTGCAGAACAGGCACCTCTTTAGAGATAGATGACAGTGGTTGCCTGGGGCTGAGAGCAGGGGAATGGGGAGTCACTGTTAATGGGATGAAGTTTCTTTTTGAGGTGGTGAAAATTTTCAGGCATTATATATGGTGATGGATGTACAACACTGTGAATATACTAAAACCCACTGAATTGTATACTTTAGAAGGGTGAACTTTATGGGTATGTGAATTATATCTCAATAAAGCTGTTATTAAAAAAAAAGAGGAACAGGTTGTTAAGTGCTGATGTTTATTGTTAAGGCTTCAATCTTTTGGGTTCTAAAAACATAGACCTTAAATATTTCCACTTGCTGCTTAGTCATTACTCATGTCTGAAAGGAGAAAAATGGCCCAGACCAAAACAAACACCAACAGCTTGACTTGGAAGTTCTTAAGAGCTCCACTTACTTTCCGCCAAATAACATCTAAGACATCATCTGTGTTCCTTAGTGTCCTTGATGCAAGGAGACCCCCACAAAAAATGGCCGATTCTGCGGATAAATCACTCAATTTTCTGTTTCCAGAAAACAGAATTATGTGTACGACTATCTTTTCGACCTTTGCTACTAAAAAATCTCAGTGGCAAATTTATTGTTCAAGTTTTGTCTTTTCCTCAAATCAGGGTCCTATAAAAGTTACATACTTTCCCAGCTCTGATGGTCTCTAGTCTGATATTCCTTTAAATGCTTCCTTTTATAATAAAGGATGTTTTTATGTGCAAATTGTTCCAAGTCCTTTTGGTTGAAGGTATGGTCCAATTCCAAAACAAAAACTAATATTCCACCCATTTGCCAGCCCTCAAGGAAGAAGGTTATGATTAATGACCGCACTGTACCTCTGCCTGATCTCTGCGTTTTTCTCCAGAACAGAGATGTTTTAAAGGCTTTAAGGTAGTCAGCTCCCTTGTCGACAGGGTCTTTTACTAAATCAGTGCTTGGCATGGGACCGCCAGAAATACCTTGGGAGCTGCTCGTGCTAGCCTCTCCACGTAGGCCCAGCATCCATCTGAGACTGACCCTGGGCCTAAGTGTCAGTTTAGTGTACCCCTACCCATTCTCGGCTGAGCAGCCAGTCAATCTTAGGCTATAGAAAATAGCTTAGCAGACACCTCAGAAAAGCTACGGTAGCCTGCTGCCTACAGGTAAGTAATACACTCTAATTTAGGGGAAGGCATCCAAGGAGCAGAGAAATGGAAGGACCCGCACATGGTTGAAAGGCTAGCTGTGGAGCAGAAGTGACTAGCGCCTTGATCCTGTGCCTCTCAGCCTGGTGCTCTGTGGTGCTCTTTCCACTCCAGCACAAGGGCTCATCACTGCCCACGTCTGCCAGGCCTCGGGCTGAAAAGGATCCGGAGAACACCAAAGGTCAGGTGGGCTTGGACACAGGGCACAGGCTTCCAGAGGCTGGGGCGCCTTACTCCTCCCGAAGTTCGACACCACACTCAGGTGGAGCCCATGTTCCTTGCTCTTGTCTGGGACCCAAGGGGGCCAAGAAACACAGTTACAGACTCCACAGGTAAGTATCACATAACACCTTGAACCTTCCTTCTTTTCCTTTTGCCTCAGTTTCTAGGGGTTGTTGTATGGAGAAAGAGACAGGAGAATGTTTGGAGCAGGAAAGGCACCTCTGATTTCATAGGTGGGCACAAGGCCCTAAGAGGAGAAGGGATTTGCTTAGGGTCACTCAGTTAGTTAGTGGCAAAATGAGGTTAGCATTTGGGTCTGTTTGGTTTATTCCTCTGCTTATAGGCTGCTGCTGCCCAGGCATAGATGGACCCAGACAGGAACAACTGGAGGGTTCTGCCCTCGCCAGAATGCTGCCATCCTTCCACAATGTGCCTGCCCTTGTGAAAGTCATCCTCGTGGCCTATGGGATTTCTAGTCGTTCATTTCCATCCTTGCAGCCACACGGGGACCCATCTTCATGATGTCAGGAGCAACAGCAATTTATGAAAGAAAGCTGTCTGAGAAGCAAGAATGGGCCCTGGGCAGGAAAAGTGCCATTTAGCCCTAAAAAGACACAAACTCTGAAGTCTATAACTGGAAGGGGATGTGTAATAAAGTAAAAGGAAAAGTGGAAGAACGGCAACATGAACTTTGTATTGACATTTGGTTCTTAATAATAACATCCAAAATGCATTCTGTTCTCATAGCGCTGCAACTGGGACTGCATCAGGTCAAGGGTATATGTTGCCGGAGTATCCCTTAGGAAGTGGGGAGGAGCTGGTGGTGAAAGAGACACACTGATTTCTCTTTGGGACCTATATGCAGCCAGGTGGAGAGCTGCAGCAGGTGCCTTGGCTCTGATAAGGGGTGGGGAAGCAATCCCAGCCAGCCTGCAAACACATGGGCAGAGTCCCTTGCCCCCAGCCCGCAAGAACACGGTTGCTGATGGGGCCGGTGGTGGCAGCTCCAGGAGAGTGGAGGGAAGGCTGGGATGTTACATTCTTGAGGCCTTCACAGGAACATGTCATCGTAGCCCGGCGGGGGGAGATGGTCTGGGTTAGGTCTGGAAGGGAAAGAGGGGCTGATGAGTTGGAGTGGTGGAGGGGCCAGGGGCACACAGGCAGATATGACCGAGAATGATGCGGTGGTGCGTGGAATTTAAGAGCACGCACTCTAGAGCCAGACAGTGTGGGTTTGACTCCCCCATCTGGAATAAGTCACCTAATCTTTCAGGGCCTCAATTACTGAGTCTGTAAAATGTGGACAGTACTATCCACCTGAGACAGTTGATACAAGGATCCAATGAGTTTCTGACACAACTTTCAAGAACTGTTAGTTCCTCCTCCTCCTCCTCCTCCTCCTCCGAGTCCTCCCTGGAGGAAAGCTGGGGGAAGGTAGGCACTAAGGAATAGGGAGCTCCTGGAAGGCTCCAGGGAGGCATCAGGCAGGGCCTGGAGGAGACTACTCACTTGGCAGCAATAGGTAGAGGGAGTGGCAACTCTGTGCTTGGGGCCAGAAACCTTCATTGCTGAAGTAGGTCCTACTTCTCAGCATGCCATAGTGACTACCTACCCAGATGGGCTGGTCCCTATGGGTCCAAAGGGGTCAAAGCGAGCTCCTGGGGGCACAGCGCCTGGAGGAAGCCGGTTCGGGAGGCCTGAGGATGGGTCAATAATTGCTCTTGGGAAGCCAGACCTCAGGGGATCCACAATCATGCCACCTCTCCGACACCTAAGGCAAGAAGGAAAGATAGGTAAGCCGCTGTGGCAGGGACTACCCTTGGAGAAGAGGTGAGGGAGGTGAGCATGGACTAAGAATGACTGGATGTGTACTCTAGATGGTTTACACAGACACGTGGATGGCTGCCTGAGAGCCACCAGGAAGTGGGCAAGAGCCAGAACACAAGCCTATACAAAAAGCACACCTTATTGCTAAGTATTTCTGGTTCTGCAGGGCTTGGTTCTATAGCATTCCCAGAGCCCACAAAATTGAGGTCCCTGCCATGTCCTACACTCAAGGGGGCCAATTTGATCAAGAACAGGAGCCAGAACTTGCCAGGGTCAATGCAGAACCCTCGCAAGGCTCTGGAGGGCATACTCTAGGTCTAAGGACTAATAACAGCATTGAGACAATTCATGATGCTAGTTTTTTTGCTCTCTTTCCCTTAAGGGCCTCAGGGCAATTTCTGACTGCCTATGGGTTGCCCAAGTCCTGCTCCTGACAGCATCTATAGCTCACTGAGTTCCAGGGACCTGACCTCATGTGCTCAAACTAGGATGAATGGGCTGATGTTCCCCAAATTTTGAGGTCACTGCTCAAGCTGCACTGTAGACTTAAGTGATTTCCCTTCTAAGAATGAAATGCTAAAGTTGGGGTCACTTTGCAGCAAAAATTACAATCCAGTGTGAATCGTTCAGGGAAGACAGTGCGTAGCTGAAGTTGCAGGAACTTTGTTACGTGCATGGCAAGAACCAGAGTCCTGTCTTTATTAAGTGAGGTCTGAATAGCCCTGAGCTTCCCTAAGGTCTGTGGCCCACCATATGCACCCAATAAATCCTTGTAGTATCCTTCCATCCAAAGCAGGGCCGCTGTCCTCCACTAGGTGGGTGGGGGGACTGGGAAACGACTGAGGAGCCGCCTGCTGGGCTTGCTCAGCTTCCCCCAGCACTCAGAGCTCTCCTGCACTGCTCTCGGTGTGGCAGAGCTCAGCAACAACTGCCTCCTTCACCCGAAAGGAAGAGACTGACGAAAAACTCTAAAATTAGAAGATGAGCTAGGGCTGAAAAGCCACAAAAGCAAGTTGGTTGCTACCACCTCCCCAGCAGTACTCACCCAAAGGGGTCTAGGTCTTCTCCACCGACAGCAAACGGGCCCAGGGGATCACACCTGAAACAAACAAGGGACAATTACTGCAAGTCCCAGAGCAGCCAGTGCCTGGGCTCCCAGGAGCCCGAACCTGACGCCTGTTGTGTCACAAATGCACTCCTAGGCATGGAGGATACGGGAAACCCCTACATGAGGTCATAGCACAAGGGATATTTCAAGTGGTCTGTGGCCCAGATTAACACTGACAATATTTCAATGGCAATTATGTGAAAAGGATGGAACGCAAAGCTAAAAACATGGAGGAGCTCAATTCTGTATAAAGATAAAAATATTAACAGTGGTAAACTCCAGATGAATTTTATTTTATTCACACATTTGTCAAATTCCTCAACTTCATATAAATAACCAAGAAGTTTTAGATCAGAACAGTTTTATTCTAAAACCAAAATCCCAAGGCTAAGATTTAAAAGCTTTCAAGGTGGAGTGAGATAGATGTACGGAGTCATATATAGCTGCAGTAATGCTTCTCAACCTCCTGTCATTATGGTCCCTGTATGGAACTTTAGTATCATAGATATTCTATGTATCTGTTTACGCACTATAGCCTGCTGAAGGGGCACAAACCATTGTAATCTCTAAGACAAACCCCCTTCGTCCTACCAAGAACCCATTTTTGCCTTTACTGACAATGCATAAGCTAGAAGGAGCATAAATAAGTGCATGGATATCACAGAACAATTCTATATTCTCTAATATATACACACAGAAAATATAATCTATTACTCAAAAGTCATATACCTTTATATTCTCTGATCTACTAAGTTTATGTTTAGGTATCCATCCTAAAGAAAGAACACAGAATTCAAATTGAAATATATCCACGAAAACTTTAATTGAGGAAACTTGAATCAGCCTAAATGGGGACCAGTTAGGTACATCATGGCATATCCCTAAATGCAGCCATGGAAACAATAGAAACAATGTTCTTAGAATGTGTTAAAAATCATGTGGAAAAATGTTCATGCTCTAGTGTTAAGTGTGGGGGAAAGGGAGATTATCAATAGCTTAGGGAAATCAACTGTGAAAAAAACGTGTGTTTTGTGTATAAATGAAACTAGAAAGAAGCATACTGAAAGTGTAAACAGTGACAGCTACTCCTAGGTGGTGAGTTTCTACTTTATACTTCATTTTTTCTATGATGGATATAGATATAATAATACAAATTCAGTATTTTAAAAAGTGTGCTTTGCGACCAGGCACAGTGGCTCATGCCCGTAATCCTAGCGCTCTGGGAGGCTGAAGTGGGAGGATTGCTTGAGGTCAGGAGTTCGAGACCACCCTGAGCAAGAGCAAGACCCTGTCTCTACAAAACAGAAAAATTAGCCAGGCATGGTGGTATATGCCTGTAGTCCCAGCTACTTGGGAGGCTGAGGCAGGAGAATTGCCTGAGCCCAGGAGTTTGAGGTTGCAGTGAGCTATGATGACGCCACTGCACTCTAGCCTGGGTGACAGAGCAAGACTCTGTCTCACTAAAAAAAAAAAAAAAAAGGGTGCTTTGGAATCAGTGTTGGAGCCCTGGTGAGCAATATAAACCTGACAGTTCTGGGGTACAGGCGGGGCTTGTCAGACCTCAGTAAAGACTTATAAACAGCAGCTAATCTAAGTTTATAGGTAAGAGCCATTAGAGAACTGGGAAAAAATCCAGTCAGTTCCACCTAGTGGGCTGGAAAGAATATTGCGAGGTAAGCGGACTAGGCCAGGTTCCCAAGGGAAGGAATTTTTCCTGACCCAGGTTACTGTTCCCAAGTCACAGTTCCTGCAGCCAGTAGTCAAAGTTTCTGGTGCTCTCCAGCCTCCTGCCTCACTGGAGGTAGTTTAGGTGCTCGGAGGGCAGGGAGCCTCTTATCTGGTTCCATGAGGAGAGCCCTCCCTCCCTACAAAGCAGAAAACAGAGGGGGCTTCTAGAGGCTGTTAAAATGTCAGGGAATAAAGAGCCTTGATTGTTCCTGAAATATGCAGCCATCTCTATTTTTCTCGCTGGACCAGAGTGTGGGGAGGAGGGAAGAAGCAGAGAACAAAGGCGGCTAGAGAAGCAGCTGCAGGGCCCACCCCAATAATCTGTGTACTCAACACTGTCGCAGCATATTCAGTAGGCTCACACTCAACCCAGGCTCCCTGCAACACACGCACACTTCTGCGGCTCATCATGTACACCCCTCAGGATCCATTTAAAATAGCACAGGGGTCCATCTTTCTTTCCATAGCCCCCTTGGCCGAGTCTCAGTGTTAGATGTGCTGAATAAGACTCTAGGGATTTTTAAAAAGTCATTTTTGTACATGGCCTCTGTACTCAAGCACCTACGTCTTCATTTGGTAAGAGTGATCCATGCTAACCCTGCAGGAAAAACTGCATGGCTGGGCCCACTGGGGCAGTATGTCCCAGGTGCAACACACATATTTCCTCTTTATGTGCTCCCCTTTTCTCTTACATAAAAACAACACACCCACCTTCGGTACACAAATTCAGCTGACATCTTTCTAAGGGCTGACGTGGCCTGGTGAACTAGGTCTCGAGACTGGGAGTCAGAAGATGTGCTCTGGACTTCGGGTTTGGGATTACCTAACTGGTTGCCAGGGCCTGCCACAAAACTTCTGTACCTCAGTCTTTTAAGATACAAAATTTAAGTAGTAACACTCACAGAGTCTGCCATGATGGTGAAATGTAGTTTTGGACGCGAACAGATTTGTTGACAGGAAAGGCCTGGAAGAACGGAATAACAGCAACCACTGCTATTTACTGAGAGCTTGCTTTGTGTCAGATGCTGTGCCAAATTTAGGTCTTTTTTAAATTTAGTTTTTAAAAGATTAATTTTTAAAATTTAACTTTCTGAAGAAGTGCAGTCACCAGTTCCAAAATTCATGAATAAAGAAGATACACGGGTCCATAATCTTAGGCTAGATGTGTTTTGGAATTCAGTATTTTTCGTATTTTAGAAAGGTTAGATAGGTACAACATATTTTGTGTAATACTCCAAACAGCACCCTGTAACCAATACCCTATTATTTCTGCAAAATGAATGGATATTAACACTTACATGGGATAAATAAAATACATAAGGAGCTTTGTGCCACTTCAGGCTAGGTTTTGTCACTAAGCCTATGAAGCAAACATGTGAGAGCTCTTTTGATTTCAGAACTGTAGTCAAGAGACTGTGGACCTGTAATAGTCAAAAATCTCCCTCTTATCCCTGTCTCCCAGCCCACCAGGTCTTCCCACAGACAAGTAATGACACCAGTTTCTTTTATGTCCTTCCAAAGATATTCTGCACATATAAGCAAATATGTTTCTCCCCTACATTTTTAACAGATAAATGTGCTGAGCCCCTTACATACATTCTCTTATTTCATCTTTACAGCAGCTCTCTCAGTAGGCGTGATTATTATTCCTATTTTACAGATGAGGAAACTGAGGCCCAGAGAAGTAGGTTTCTTGCACAAGACCAATGGCAAAGATAGGATTCACGCCATGCCTGCCCAACTTCAAAACCCATGCTCTTTTAATTGGTGTGTCGAGACCGTTTGCCTTTAATGTGATACTGTTATGTTTAGATTTGGATCTACCATTTTATTATTGGTTTTCCAATTGTTCCCTCGCTTTTGTTCCTGTTTCCTCTTTTTATAATTCAATTTTAACTTGACTATATCTCTTTGTATAGTTTTTTTTAGTGGTTGCTCAAGAGATTACTATATACTTAACTTTTCACAGTCTACTTAGAAACAATATTTTATCATTTCACGTGGAATGCAGAAACCTTAGTAGCACACATAGGCCCCTCTATTCTCCCCTCTTTATGTTATGGTTGTCATATAGTACCTCGACAACATTAAAAACCCCATCAGACAATCTCATAATTTTTGCTTTCAACTATAAAACATATATTAGAGAATGCAAGAGAACAGTCTATTATATTTACCCACATATTTACTATTTCTGTTGTTCCTCCTATATTCCTGATGTTCCAA